ACTAAGAAACTTTGGGATGGGACTTCAGGCTACACATCACTGTGCCTCACCGTGGTGATGGAACATATCCCGGTGTTCAACACACATATGTTGGATAAACATATTTGTTTATGAAGTCCCATTCTGTCCATTTCAGTTTCTTAGATAATACCCGAATACCCATAAAGGACTATAGTTTATTGATGATCAAGGCAGCTTTCCCTCTTAGGATGTAGATGGGATGATTAATTGGAGTTGAGTTGTATGAGAACCATCATTCCCCATAAAAATACTTCCCCATTCTTGACGACCATGGAACAGGTAATCTGTATCCATTCTGTTTCTCTAAAGGGTTGAAACATTGGTGGTAAGGAGACACAGGAGCAGAGACATGGATAGCAGGTCCAGAGAAATTTACATTTTCAAAGGTCATTTCCCTGCATTTTCCTACACTTGTGTTTTCCGTTCTCTTAAAAATACTCTGAGGCAGGGTGCCGTGGCTCATGCCTGTAACCCCAGCACTTTGGGAGGCCAAAGCAGATGGATCACCTGAAGTCAGGAGTTCAAGACCAGCCTGGTCAACATGGCAAAATCCCATCTCTATTAAAAACACAAAAACTAGCCAGGCGTGGTGGTGCATGCCTGTAATACCAACTACTTGGTAGGCTGGGGCAGGAGATTTGCTTGAACCCAGGAGGTGGAGGTTACAGTGAGCCGAGATCATGCCACTGCCCTCTAGCTTGGGGGACAGAGTGAGACTCTGTCTCAAAAAAACAAAACAAAATAAAAAAACCTGAGTAATATCCATTCCTGAATAGGAAAAATTAGCAACTAATAAGCTGTGTGTGCCTTATTAGGACCCTCAACACGTTAAGGAAACTCTGCCCACCATTTATTTGACTATGAACTTTTTAGGAAATAGGATGCTGACTCTGAATTGTGCATTGAAATTCATTAAAAGGATTGGCTGCAGAATCAGAAAGTTAACATTCAGAAACATATGGTATTTATTTAGGGGATTCTTAGACTCTGATGCATAACATTAATCTAAGCACAGACAGAAGGAAAAGTACCATTTCTCCAAATGGCATTAATGTCTAAATACTAGCTTTATAAATACTGAATTACTCACAAACCTGGAATATGCATATTTTTTCAAGAGTATCTATGTTTAGCATCTAAAGTTTCAGAAGAAAGGACATTTATCACGGATACATTTTTGTAACATCTGTGATTCCATGTATGTGTATGCTAAGTTAGAAGGACTTCAGTTTTTACTAATATTAAGATTTCTCTTTTGCATTGATAATTTGTGTGTTCCCATGTGAAAGAGAAGAGTTTCCTTAGCCTGATCTTCAGCCTCTATCATTAACAATTATAGATACCAAAGTAGAAAAAAGAGCTACCATTCGCTGAGTGTGATCTGTATTGCAATACTCAAAATAAGCCCACAAGGCAGGCATTATTATTTCTGTGTAAAAGGTGAGGAAATGGAGGCTCAGTGTAGCTCAGTGGTTTGTCAAAAGTCATGCCATTGGCTAGCAGGAGGGCCAAGACTCAAATTCACATCTTTCTAATCACAAAGAGGCTTCACCTATGGCTAGTTCATAATAAATTTAGATTTATAAAGTTTTATAAGTTTTGCTTATAATGGTTGCTGTACTTATAAAAATGTACAGTTTTGTTACTTTCTAAGCACATTGGTCTAACTTTTGGTTCCATAGCCAGGTGCTCAAGACTGTGCCCTGCCTGCAGCCAACTACTAAATAGGAGCAATTTATTCAAAGGATCTTCCTGCAATAGCTTCCTGGGGACTCAGGTATCAATCTACCAATTAGCCTATACACGTTTCTACCACGAGCTAATAAATCTACCTAATTAGCCTATACACGTGTTTCCTGATGCTGGACCCCTTTCTCTTTCCATACTTTCTTCAATGAGACTGTGTTCTTAGATAGGTCCAGGGATGGGCACCCCAATCTTAGTCAAGGTAGCAAAAAAAGACATTTACAGGGAGAGTTTCCTAGACCTGCTTAACACTCCTAATGGAGAGGTACCTTCTCTTCATTTCTTTAAAGATCCTTCTCATGAGTCAAAAATATCATGAAAAATAGTTTAAATGCTCTGAGGAGAAAAGCAGTCAGAGTTGAGGACATGTAATCCAGGTTATAAAAGAAATGGTTGTGCACCTCTGTTCATGGCTGCATTATTCACAATCTCCAGGAGGCGGAAGCAACCCACGTGTCTGTCAAGAGATGAATGGATAAACAATATGTGGTATATATTTAATACATGCAATGGAATATTATTCAGCCTTGAAAAAGAAAGAAATTCTGACCTGTGATACAATATGGATAAACCTTGGGGATATTACATTCATGAAATAAGTCAGTCACAAAAAGATAAACACTGTTTAATTCCACTTACATGAGGTAACTAGAACCATCAAATTCATAGAAACAGAAAACAGAATGGTGGTTGCCAGAGACTAGTGTGAAGAAAAAGTGAGAAGCTATTGCTTAATGTGTATAGAGTTTCAGTTTTGCAAAATTAAAGTTTCTGGTGATTTATTTTACAATAATGTGAATGTATTTACCATTACTGAACTCTACACTTAAAAATGATTAAGATGACACATTTTATGCTGTGTATATTTAACAACAATACAAAAGGTTAATGGTGAATGTATGAGAAATGTGGTTATGGGAAATTTGTAAGTTTTGAGTGTGTGAGAAATGAAGACATTTGGAGAACGTAGAATGACAGAAAAGAATGGTACCAACTACTCATTCCGAAATGATTTCCCACCTTACCCTGGTACCTATTCTTAATTTTCTGGTTTGAGGTGCAAGCAAGAAAAGATACCTATCTAAACATTTAGGATTTAACACCATTCATTGACATTAATTACTTGGGTAATTTTCATAATCCTTTACACTATTTAAAAAAATTTAAAAGTTCAGTTAGACAGATAGCTTTCTCTCAATTAAATTTCAATTAAATAAGTCAAATGGCTTTCTTTTAATTAACACTAAATTACATCCTATTAATCGAGTATATTCTGCTATTGGAATGTTGTTGCATTTATTAAGTATTTTATTGAAAAATTATTTCAGTAATATAATTTTATTTCATATTTTATGAGATAAATATTTGCTAGTCTATTGTGTATCCAACAGAGATATAGAATGACATATAGGCATAGAAATTCAACCAGACGTTCAGGCCTGGCTTTGAGTCATGGCTCTCCTCATTAACCCTGAAAACCAAGCTAAAATTTCCAGTTCTCAGTTTATCTTTCAGCAGTATGAAATAATTAGTCTAGGCCAGGTGTAGTGGCTCACACTTGTAATCCCAGCGCTTTGGGAGGCTGAGGCAGGAGGATCACTTGAGGCCAGGAGTTCAAGAACAGCCTGGGCAACATAGGGAGACCCTGTCTCTACAAGTTTTCTTTTTAAATTAGTCAGGCATAGTGGTATGCATCTGCAGTCCCAGCTACTTGGGAGGCTGGGTTGGGAGAATTGCTTGAGCCTGGGAGGTCGAGGTTACGGTGGGCTGTGATCATTCCACTGCACTCCAGCCTGGTTGACAGAGATCTTGTCTTAAAAAGAATAGTCTAAAGCAGGGTCAGCAAACTTTCTCTATGAGGACAAAATAGCAAATATTTTAGTCCTTTTAGAGTTTGTGGGAAGAAGCAAAATGAAAGATAATGAGAGAAAACAAATCTCCACCATTTTCTAAATACAAAATTCAAAATATAATAATTATTATTTTTTGTAATTCATGTTTACTAATGAGAGGAATAAAATTTCCTCTTAATAAATGCCATGCTTCCAGAATGTTCCTTCTCAGCCTCTTTGGCTGGACTGCTCTGTTCAATTTCTAGATGTTGGTATGTTCCAGAATCCTCATTTCTCTTCCAACTAGATTTTCTTCTTGCATTAGCTTACCTAGTTTCATGGTTTTAAAAACCATTTACATGTTATGACTTTCAAATTTGTATAACTATAGTTGACCTCTATACTGTAGGGCATATTTATGTAACCAATTGCCTTTTTGCCGTTTATTCCATGTCTAAGAGATACCTCAAATGAAATAATTCCTAAAATTGTTTCCTACCCTTATCTCTCTTTCAGTAAATGATACTTTCACCTACCCAGTGATTCAAGCTGAAAATCTAGGAGCCATCCTAGATCACTGCCTAAGCTCTCTCCAACAACCAATTTATCAGCATTTGCTTGAGTATTCTTTGTATAAGGAGAAAAAGCAATCAGAGTTGAGAAGCCGTATAGCTGTGTTCAACACAGAAATGACCAGAAGTATTCTGGCTGTAAAGTAATTATAAATGTTATTAAGTCAGCCCCCTAAACAAATTTTGAACACATCCACTTCTCCTCATCTCTACTAATATCACTTAGTCCCAGCTACCATTACCTCTTACTTGTACTTCTGCTCTTGCTTCATAAATGGTGTTTCTATTTACATTTTCAACTCCAACCCTTGCTTCACCCAATCCATTCTCTACAGAGTGGTCAGAATGATCATCTCAAAGCACAGTCAGACTTTGTCACCTCCTGCTTTTAAGTTTTTGCAAAGCTTCCCACTTTTTAATTTGACATATATTAGTATCTGATTAGCATGTTCCCAGTACTATTCTCATTGCTGGGGAGATGGCAGGGAATAGACAGACAAAAATCCCTGCCAAATGTAACTTACACTCTAATGAAGGGAAATAGATAATAAACAAACCAAAGAAAAAAAAAGTGAATCAGATAGCATGTTAAATAGTGATAAATGCTATGGAGAAAAATCAAGCAGGGAGTTAGGCAATGGGGATTTGGAGGCGTTACAACTTTCAATAGGGTTGTCAGCAAAGGCCTCATTGTGAAGATTCCTCTTCAGTAAAGACCTGAAGAAGGTGAGTTAGAAAGGAGGTAGAGTTTGAGGGTAATAGCATTCCATGGAGCAGAAAGAGCAAGTGCACAGGAATAGCGAGAAGCAGAGTGAGAGAGATGAGGAGAATTCAAGATGACATTAGAGAGATGACAAAGTCTAGGTTAAGGAGGATCTTGTAGACTCTGAGTATGGTGTTGAGCAGGGAAGAGACAGGCTCTGGCTTAGGGTTTAGAAGGAACGCAGGCTATGTGGTGAGGATTGTCTGAAGGGTAACAAAAGGCCAAGGTGGGGAGACTACTTAGAACTTTACTTTAGGTGAAATGTTAGAACTGGGTGACGCAAAAATGTGCTCAGCATCTGTGAGGAGGGGCAGAGAGGGAGCAAGGATGGATCCAGGGTTTTTAGTCTGATCAACTGAAAGTCTGGAACAGCCATTACTTAAAATGAAGAAGTCTGAGGGAAGAAAAGATTTGGGGGAGAATATCAAGAAACTTGATTTTGGATGGGTGCATTCGAGATGCAGATTGCACATCCAAGCCGAGATGCCAAGTAAGCAGTTGAATGTTTAAATGTGGATTTGAAAGGAGAGGTAGAGGCTGGAAATATAATTTTGGTAGTCATTCTGTTACAGATGTTATTTGAAGCTGTGAGACTGAGTGAGATCATGGAGGAAGTGAATGTAAATAGAAAAGGGAAAAAGTCTGAAGATGGAGCCCTGAGACACTCCATTGTAAACTGGAAGATGAGGAAGAGCCGGCAAAGGAGACTGAGAAGGGGCAGCCAGTGAAGATGGAAGTAACCAGGAGAGTGTGGTGTCTGAAAGTCAAGCAGCAAAGGGTTTCCACGAGGAAGGAGAAATTAACAAGGTCAAATGTTGTATATGGGTTGAGTAAAACTAGAATACCTCCTAAATAGAGTATGTTCTAAATTTATTACCAGTACTTGAAATCACCTACAAATTGATCTCCTTTACGTCTATGCCTTCATCTCCTAATATCTCCTCCCTTCCTCAGTATAGCCTCTCCCCCATTTTCCTCTCCAGCTTTCATCTGCTACCTTACTCTCTCCCTTGTTCACTATCCCTTCTCTAGACCAGCCCTTTGTTTTTCCATCATGTCAATATATTGTCCTATCGGTTGTTCCCACTGCCTAACTCTTCCTTTTACTTCATGATTACTTCCTATCGTTACAGTTTCTTTTCGTGACCACTCGGTCTACAGTACCAATTTTATTAATGTTACTTCCATCTCCTTCCATTCACTCTTTATCCCACCACTTTGTTCCTTTACTTTATATAATTTTTGGCATCACAACATTTTCAGTTCATTGTTTTTCATCCCACATAACAACAAGGATCTAGACTGTCTTGTTCTCTGCACTGGGTCAGGCTAGAACAAGGTGTGCTACAGTATGCATTCAATTAATATTTACTGAATAAGCTAATTAATCTATATTTCAAAATTTTAACAAAATTATATGTAAGACATACCCAAACACTGGTAAATTATTCCAAATTGAGATGTGTAGAGGAAGAAATCTGAGAGGAATTTTTATTTGATGATGCTGGAAAGTATTTTTTTCAAGTGTTTTTCAATTTACATGTTGTGTAATTGAAAAACATTCCTCAATCCATTTGAGCATTTGGCAATCTCTTTGAGACATTGTTCATCTACCTTATTTCCACAGCCCCTCAAATACAACCTTGCATTTGCCTAAAATGGTGCTCTATTATAACTTCATGTTACCTTTCATAGTTCCAGGAATCTGTAAAAGTAATAGCGTCATCTTTATTCGGGTCTAGTGTACAGCAGACACACCTTAACTGTTTATTGAAAAGATGTTTAAATAAATGAATATTGAAATCTTTAATTAAGAGTAGCTGCTGAGGAACAGAAAACCAAACACCACATGTTCTCACTTATAAGTGGGAACTTAATGATGAGAACACATGGACACATGGGGGGAACAACACACACTGGGGCCTGGGGCAGGTGGGAGGGAGAACACCAGGAAGAACAGCTAATGGGTGCCGGGCTTAATACCTGGTGATGGGTTGATCTGTGCAGCAAACTACTATGGCACACTTTTCCCTATGTAGCAAACCTGCACATCCTGCACAGCTACCCCGGAACTTAAAATAAAAGTTGGCTAAAAGAAAAAAAAAAAAAAAAAGGGTAGCTGCTGAATTAGTCAAGTAAAATTTTCTTATTCATTCATTTTCTACCAGCCTTCTCAAGAGAATTGTCTTCTAAGAGGTCCAAATGAACACAACTTATCATTGGAAGCTCTTTTTAAAAAATCGCTCTAATGAAATTCAGGGGATGAGTAGAAACGGGGTAGGGGCAGGCTTTGTGTTTGATAATTTGGTGTGCTCTTTCATCTTCCCTCTGCAGTCTTACGCTCATTGTTTGTTGCTGCTAAAGCAGTAAATGTTGTTTGTCTTCATTGCAAAACCAAGGATAGAAAACTTTGAAGTGTTTTCTGTTGCTTAATGTCACCTACTGTTCCTGTCAGCAAACTGAGATAAACCTGATGGACTGAGGTGTCTGGTCTAATTCCTTTATTGACACACAGTCCTGTCTTCAAACACCAGTGTAAATGAATAAGTACTGAGATAGTAATGTGTCAGTAATAGGCTGCCAGATAAATGCCATTGTTTACGTACTGATCCCTGCTTCCTAAGGCCCAAACAGCTCAAAAATCTTACAAATTAGCACCTCGCTGAGATCAAAGAATTGTCTTTTCTTTCTGCAATTACCTACTTGGAGAGTGGTGCAAGCAGATGAGACGAGTTTAAGCTGTCTCTCTCTAGCCCAAATCTTTCTTTTAAAGAGAACAAATGGTGGAATTATACACTGTTTCAGGAAAAGGCAGTTAAGAATAAGAGATTTTTACTTTATTTTGCCATGCAAGAACAAGGGGATTTTTAATTTTTATGTTAATCCACCAATCAATTCCCATTACAATTATTTTACTGAAAATTCAGTGGAAAGAGCCATGTTCATCCTTAACAACCGCCTTTTGGGATCAGATTTAACTGCAAATTACAAAAATAAAAATCGTTTTGAATTCAGGGATACCATAGTACCCACACTTCAAACAGAAAGTATGAGAAGAATAAATACTTTCTGAAGGAGTAAAAATTTAGACAACAAATCTTCTAATTTCGTTTTTGGCATATCTTAAACAGAAAAGTACACCATTAGTCTCTCTTAATTTGAAAAAAAGAAAGGTATAATTTTATGACTTTCCTTGCTTACCAAGTTCTTTGCCCTGAAGCACATTCCAGCTCCATTAGCCTGTGTCCAAAATGGCATTGTTTTATTTGAAGATATTGAGAAATGAGAGGATAGAAGGATGTAACTTGAGTTTACACTATTTAGTAATTGTCTTTCATATTAGTCATATAACCTAGAAACAAGAAACCAAATGTTCAAAACTTATTATGGCTTAGGATAACACTGGGTTCTTTATAAGAAAAACAAAATTCTTTCTTGGTGGTAGGCTTTATCTTTTATGCAAATGAACAAAATCTGCTTTCCATTTCTAGCGTTAGACTTTGTGTTAATCAAAGCCTTGACTCCTATGGATAAGTGAGTGGTTTAAAGAAATAAAAATTGACCTGAAAAGTAATTATCTGCAATAAGTTGGAATCCTTTTTCCCTATATGTGTTTTACTTCACTTATTCACATCCATGGTTTTTAAAGGGAATATTAAATACCTTATGCCAAAGTAAATAATGTTCATGTAAATAAATGTGAACTTAAGGCAAATTTTGATATAATTTGTCTCACTTTTCTAAATCTGTTTCTTGCATTAAGCATTCTAGTATCTTTGGAATCAGCCAGGGCTAGAGCGAAAGCCCCTCCTGTGATGCTGTGAACCCCAAGTTTGAAGACTACTGATAACCCCAATCTACGAAGACTGGCTATGGAACTTCCTACATGGAGACAACGCCAGTGGAACTCTGATAATTATCCTAAAACAAGGAGGCTTCTTCAGTAACCCTTGAACTATGTTCAAATATGTGATTACATTTATGTCCTTAATATCACTATTAGTTTCTGATGTTAAAGTAAAAGTTGAGGAAAAAGTAGAAAAGGTAAAGCAGTACAGGTTAGTTCAATGCCAGAGTAACTTCTAGGAGGGTATATATTCAGTGTGAACAATTTTCAACAGAGAAATGTCAACTTCTGGCCACAACAGCAACCAGTAAAATAACTATTTTTAGTGTCATATCTATTAATGAAGAGGAGATTGCATAATATAGATGAGAGAGCGTAGTATTTGAAGGTGGAACGCCTAGCAGGGCTTGAGTCTCAACTCTGCTGCTTTTACTCTAATTGACCGAGACAAGTCATTTAAACTAAAAGAGCCTCAATTTTCTCATATCTAATGTAACATAAGAGTTCACAGCCTTTTACATTGTAGTTACTGTGAAGATCTAATCACAATGAAATATATTTATATGTCTGTCTGCTGACAGAACTTTTGTCATAGAGGGTAGTCCATTTTATGTCAATAGGGCTTAAATAAGATCTGTGCTAGCAACTGAATTACACCAGTGAGTGAATAATTACAAAGAAAGCCTGCTTTATCAATCGATATAAAGAAGAAAGTTACTGAGTTTGTGGGGGAGATTCTCCTTTCATACTGACACTTGTTCTTACTTTCCCTGAAATAGAGATTATAGTAGTCTGCCAGCAATCCTCAAACTTCAATCCTGGCCTGGAAATTGGACAGAAGGAGTCCAAGGATGCATGAACTGAAAGTGCCAGTGAATGTCTCAGTGCAAACTGTGGAGTCATAGTGGTTAATATGCAAAATTAATTCCCCATTCAGACTCCAGGCAGTTACATATCAACCAACATCAACTTCGACCCTCAATCTTCAGCCTCAACCTAGTAATAGTATCTCCGAGGTGAATAAGCTATGAAATGGACATTTTCACCCTCCCTTTTTTTTTTTTTTTTTGAGACAGAGTCTTGCTCTGTCCCCCAGGCTGGAGTGCAGCGGTGTAATCTGGGCTCACTGCAACCTCCACCTCCCGGTTACAAGTGATTCTCCTCTCTCAGCCTCCTGAGTAGCTGGGACTACAGGCACGTGCCACCACACCTGGCTAATTTTTTGTATTTTTAGTGGAGACAGTTTTTCACCGTGTTAGCCAGGCTTGTTCTCTATCTCCTGACCTCTTGATCTGTCTGCCTCAGCCTCCCAAAGTGCTGGGATTACAGGCATGAGCCACCGCACCTGGTCCCACTTTCCTTTCTTATTAAAATTACTAGGAAAATATAGTAAGTTACTGTGCTTTCTTATTATATCACCTTTTGGTCTCTGTTAACAAAAAATGCAGTTACATGTAAATTTTAGTATATGACAATATTCATCTCACAGTACTTACAGTGATAACGGTGGAAGAGGAAGGAAGGTAAAACTTCTGCTGTGATTCCATAAATGAGCAATGTGGGACGCCATTGTGTGAGTCCAGTGCTTACACAAGCGCCTGAACACAGAGCTGCCAGGCTGGGTGTGTGTGTCAAACTCTGCCAAAGCCCTGAAAGCACCTGTTGTGAAAAGTTGGAAAAAGGTCTTGGCAAGCAAAACTCATGTTGATTTTTGTCACCTTTTTGAGCAAATATTCTTTGCAGATCAATAGTCCATTGGTTTATTTTTACAAATGTTTTCTTTTGATTTTTCTTTCCTCCCAATGTAGTTTCAAAAACCAGTCCATTTTAAAAATGATCCTTTTTATGGAGTGAAAGAATACAATACTCAGAGTGGTTCCATGCTCAAGTTCAAAGATGCAAATTTTCTTCTTTTTCTGCGTGTCTCATATTCAGTTAATAGCCCTGAGATTATGAAAGATCCATTACCTTCTCAATTGCAGATTCTGGTATTGCCAACACAACATAGCAGCATTAAAATTCCTATCATTCTATAATGGTATTTTCCAAAATGTCCCTTTTCCAAACACTTTCCAAAATATACTTTTTTGGGTTACTTTAAAAATTTTAATATAAAATTTAACAATTAAAAACGTATTTTACAGTCAGAATAGCAGGAATTTTGCTCTTTGTAGGTACTGAGGGATTATCATTAAATAAAATGTATAGCAAGTGTGCTATAGCAGTATTCTTCTGTAAGAGAGATCCAGAGTTATTGACTTGAGAAAAGGAGGAGAAATGCATGTATGAATGCAAAGAATCCTTTTTTTTTTTTTTTCCCAGCAGGGTACTGAAAAGTCATTCTTCTTCATGAGGGAAGGCAAACAACCCTCTCTGGTCTCTTTTCTACTATGATTCATATTTTGGTCTAAGTTATTTCCCAAACCAAGAGTAGACTCCCTCCTGAGTCTCTGTTGACTTACCTGGCTGCCAACAAAGGAAGGCTACTAGTTTCTTGGAATTCATATAATTATATTTCTGTGGGTCCTCATAAAGAGCCATCAGCTCTGTCCTTGCACACCCCACTTCTAGACTTGCCTCCACCCGGGGGTGGTAATAACTGAAAAGAAAACATTTCTCGACCTACTCCAGTACCTCCTAAATCAAGCTTTACCCCTTCCACTAACACTCAAATTCCATCTTATTAATATAACTGCCAAACTAAATTAAGTCTAATTTTACTTTTTTGTTTACCTCCTATATAATGGAATCATATTTTTTTCATATTAAAATTTTAACAAATAATATGTCACCTACCATTTGCACCTCTACACGATGCTAGAGAATTAAGTTGGGAAAGTCAGACCTCCAGTGCTCTTGATTCAAATAAATCCTGACCAAAGATTTAACCAGAATGTTCCCTCAGTGCTGGAAATAAATATTTATTTATATATGTATTTATGTAATACTTCTAGTTTGAAAAGAGAACTTGAGATAGTCTCCAGAAATATATACATATCAGTGGAAGAAAAACAGACCAATCTGTGGAAATTAAAGCAAGAAGAATGATAGGCTGGAAGAAAATATATATTAAAGCAGTAATGTTGGTTCCTGCCATGCTGGTCTTAGGATTCTGATAGGTTCCTGCATGTTGGTGGTAATTTTGAACAGACTATCCTAATAATCCAGGCAAATATAGTTTGAAAGCACAATTAGTCATGAGACTACTCATGTTACTGACCAAAATCACACTGCTTTGAGAGACAGCACAGTTGTTCCTGTTCCTGTGATGCATGAGGAATTTTCCTCATGGTTCCTTGTGAAGTAGACAGTGAATGATTAGTAACTATTAATGGGAAGCAGGATATCTGTGAAGAAGAGGGAAAAATAACAGCATTGCACAGATTTGAGGGAATGGATTCTTTGACTTTATCATATTTAACGTAAGCTCCCAGTGACTAATGAGTTTGAAATGCCTGGTCATCTACATATGTGTGCCTGATTCCAGGAGAGATGGAGTCTGACAGTTTGTTTAGCAGCCAAGTTCATGGGAATGGAGCCTGCTGCCTAAGGCCCCGAGCAGCCTTTATTGCAAATTCAGTAGAGTAACCCCCTGTGTAGCAAACAGTCAGGATCACTGATTATTATTTGCAGACTTTCCAAAGCTCTCATCAAATGGGAGCCCCAAACTGTCAATTTCTGGAAATATCGATGCTTAATGCTTGCTCATTCACAGAGTATGGAGAAGGTGTTGGCAATCTGGGGATAGAGGGGAGACTTGTGCCACATTTTAGAGGATGGCACTTTGGAACTTAGGGATACAGAAGTCTGATGTGAGGACAGCCATTTGACTGTCAACTGTCTTATTCACAAGAGAGGAATTAACTTCATAGCATCCCTTATGTTAGAAAAGGGGACTTACTGAGTGCCATCTATGTGCAAGCTAATAGATAAACAGTAATATGTTTTCCAAAAGCAGATGGAAGTTTTGAGAGTTCCAAAGCTTATATAATTAAGGACAAAGAGAAGGTTTAAGAAATTTATAAATATAAAACTATGTATAAGACTGTGTATGTAGGCCATGCAGAGGAGGTAAAGTGCAAGCTTTGGTAACTTCACAGAAAATCTATCTATGACGGTTTTCTCCTATAATCCTCAGAGTAACCAATGATCTGAGTAGAACTCTTTCCATGTGACATAGGACAAAACTAAGATCCAATTTTTTGTAGTTGCCAAATTTTGCTAATAAAAACAGTGGACTCTAAGTTAAATTTGAATTTCTAATATACAACAAAAAATTTTTCATATAAATATGTTCCCAATTTTTTTTATATTAAAAAATCATCTATTGGGATCTGGAATTCAAATTTAACCTGGTGTCCTGTATTTTATCTGGTAGTCTTACCAATATTATATAGCCTAGTTTTTAACCCAGATTTGTTGAATACAAATACAAAGTTCAAATATATTTTAGTCCTTTCCTATTTTAAGTACCACATGCTTAATAATTACTAAGTACAGTCATTTTCCCTTTAAATGAAAATAATCTTTGCATTAAATTGTTTATTATTTAAATAATGGAAATTATATATACTCTAGCTCTTAAAAACTTAACTTTAAATTATCCAAGTAATAATAGTTATTCCAGAAAAAATTTAAACGCAAACTAGAAACGGCAAGCAACCCTTATGATCCTCTCTTTCATAGATAACTTCTTTTTGTCATTTAGTTTTTATATCCTTCTGACTTTCTTATGCAAATGGGTATATATTGCTTTAAAAAAGAGTCAGTGTTATACATTCTTTTAAATACAAAGTGACTTAAAAAAACACAAGTGTATTTTCTTTGTGCTGGGCCTTGTATGTGATGATAGAGATTTGGCAATCAATTATCAGGATTTAGATGAAAAAAATCAGCAAGTAGAATACCAGATGTGAGAGCTTCCCACAGAAATTCTTCTTCCTTTGAAGTGTGAGATTAATGATCTATATCAGATGGTTGACTGTATTGCAGTTAGAACTAATGTGAATCATTTCAGATGGCTACCGGATGATACAGGTATGGCTGATAAAAAGTCCCTCAGAATTGAGATAAATCGACTTGGTCTCATCATTGTCTCATAGAGCAATGCAGGCAAAGGAAAAAAAAAAAATGTCTCTTGACTGATTATTTGAGTTCTTATTGCAGATTAAAAATAAAATAAATCAGTGGGATTTTATGTCAAATTTATCTACCAGAATTGTCACCTAATATATATAAAGTAGATATTGGGCTTTCTTTCAGATGAGAGGGAAAATAGAGAAAAATGGATAACTTGTCATGAATGTAAAACTTCAGAGAGAGCTAAGAGAAGCATGCAAGCCAGCTTTTTACAGGCAAAACTTTTTTTCTTCTATAGAACAAGCCTATATTAAGCAACATCAGTGACTCAGCTGTTTGTCTCAATGCAGAATTTAGGGCTGCCTTCACATGAAGCAAAAGGAAGTGTCAAATAAATTATTGGAAAAATGTGTTTCAACACCTGCATTATCTTGCTTGGCTATACAGAGTTAACTTGGGTTTCCTAAGAATTTTCTGGGAATTTTTACTGAGTATGCCT